GAGGTAAACCACGTCGGTCCATATCAAGAATCCATGCTGAAAGTGTAGATTCTTCAGTATCTGTCAATTTGCGACAATTTGCAGTTGAATCTTTGCGAGCAGTAGTCCCATTAACACGTGTCATAAAGGTCCTTGGAGGCACGTCAAAAGCTTTGGCAGCTGCAGTTTTTGATGGAAAAAGACCTTTCTTATAGGCTTCAAGTGCTAATTGCATACGCCCTTCTTTTGATATATCAGCCATGACGCGGTGCGTTGGTAAATCGCGATAAATCCGATGATAGGGGGGGCCGAGGTGGTGGCCGCGCAGCTCGGTGGTCCGCGCAGCTCGGTGGTGGATTACGTTAGTTAGATAAGAATCCAGTTATGAATGGAAGATCACCTGGCAAGGGAATGAGGTACAGGTACATGTAACTTCAGAGAAATTTGAATGCTGAATTATATAATCGCTGTCAGAGTTTAAAACTGAGTATAATAAGATAGGACGATATAGCATCCAGATCGGGATCTTGGTTGTAGAGAAATACGTTTATCTCAATACGGAGTACAGTATACTACTCCAGAATTCCCTAATTAATATAACAACTACTATCATAGTGAGCTGTTTCAAGCAGCTTATTATCCACGCAACCATCTTCACAGAACCTAGCACATATATATTGTAATGTATTGTATGTGTCCCGGCGGACAAGAAAAACCCGATAGGTATAAATATCCTCAAACTCCATCACCACTCGACACAACCTCCCTATGACTCGCCTCCGCCTCAGCCTTCTTCGCACCCAAAACCGCCTCCTCAGTCTCGACATCCCTCTCCGCAACATCGACGACTCTATCGCCAAAAGCGGCGGCGACTTCTTCGAGGGTTTTGCGCTTCGTTTCACTTGACATCTATCAGTAAAAAAACCATGCTATGCTTGGATAATGGCACTACTCACGGAAAATAGAAATACGCCACGACGAGAAAGAATAAAGTGCAGCCGACAAAGACGTAGTAGTAGTTTTCGTGGATGGTGGCGAAGGCGCTTGGGCCGGCTTCGGTAACTGTAGTAGTAGTTAATAAGGTGTATTAGAATTGAGAATTGAAGGGTAAGGCTTGTGAACGCACGCACCAGCTACATTGACAATGAAATGCGACGCTGCTGCCAGTCCCATGACTTTGTTCCGCATCGCGATGGGCAGGATTTCGGCGCCGTAGAGCCAGGTTGTGCTGTTGAGCATGCCGTCTGGAAAATATCCTGTTAGTGGGTAGTTTTTTTTTTTTGAACTGAATGCAGCAGCATACAGTAACACATGACAAACAGGTAGATGCCCAGAATAGCAAACCCTTTCCCGACGCGGTTGTTTGTGTTTTGAAACTCGCGCTGCATGACGGCTGCGTAGATTTCGATGAGGATGATGCCTGAGAGACCGGCAAGAATTAAGCTAGCACGGCAATTTCAGTCAGAGTTCTTTTTTTTTTTCTGACAGAATCGACTCACTTCCGTCGTCCCCACTGGTCGGTCAGATACTTGGTTGTGATGCAATTGGATAGAAAAGCCACGGTGCCGTAGACGGCTGCCAGGGCGAGGATGGTTTGCGATCCGATGCCTAGCGATTGGTACAGGATTGCTGGAGAAGTTAGTGTGATAACGATAGAATATGGATATGGTTTGACGAACTTTGATAGTACTAGAAGAGATAGAATTTGTTGGTTAGCAATTTCATGTTGCTACATTTTCAGCTACTTACCTGGATTACGTTCACGCCCGTCAGGCTGGTCATCGTTTGGACGGCAATGGACCTGGAGTCTTCTGTCAGAAATAATAAACAATAAGTCTTCGCCGAGATGAGGAGACACTCACGCCAACGCACGATGACGAAATAGCCGAAAAATCTCCCTGTACGAGGTAATCTCGCGCTGCATCTCATACTCGATCTGCGCGCGCATGAGCGCAAACTCCTCCGGAACCTCATGCGAGTGCAGATCGCGGCGGATCTTGACGAACTCGGCGCGCGCCTCCTCGACTTTTCCCCGACGGATCAGCTGTCGCGGAGAGTTGGGCATGAAGGTCGCTAGCCCCATGAACATGATTACACCCCAGGGGATCTGGATGCCTAGGGGCAGTCGCCACTGCGTTGGCCCGTATGGCGCGTAGCCGCAGGCGAAACCTACCCAGTTGGACATCATGGTGCCGAAGGAGATGCCACAGCCGGAGATGCCGCCGATGAGGCCACGGTTATGGGGGGCGGATATTTCACTGGAAAAGTTAAGTCTGTAGTTCTTATACAGTGCTTGTCAGGACGAACCTGAGATAGATAGGCACCGTAGCGACCATTCCTCTAACTTCCATCAGCTAAGCTTTCTCTATCGGAGTGAAGACGAACCCACCCTACCGCATACCCGGCCAGAACACGGCCAGCAAGAAACATGCCAATATTGACAGAAGCCGTCTGGATGACGGTGCCAATGGTGACGATGACGCACATCAGCTGCATGAATCGAATGCGGCCCAGTCTGTCGCCGATGGCGGTCTGGGTCAGCGCGCCGGCTGCTTCGCCCGCGATGTAAACGGCGACGACCTGGAAAGCACTCAGTCGAGAGACAGGTCCGGAACGGAGATATTGACTTACGGCACCGGTAAGGCCATTGGAGGGATGGTTCATGTAGTCGATCCAGCTCTTGTGGGCGATTGCTGTAGCAGTTAGCATGCACTATACCTACAGTAATAAGTAATAATGGAGTCGGTTGAACTCACTCGTCGTCGCAATCCCCGTATCGAATCCCTGCACATCAAACACATCTTAGCAAACGCATCTTCAAACAAGAAGCTATTACAGCAGCAGCGTACGAAGAGAAAGGTGCCGATGGCGGCAAACAAGGCGATTCCAAACGTGTACCACCCTGCCATTTTGTAGTTGATTGACAGACAGACAGCAAGCACAAACGATCAAGATGAGACCGAAGAAAGAGAAGAGGAAAGGAAGATAAGATGCGCATCGTCATCTATCTATCTACCTATCTACCGTTGACGTTGACGATGACAGCAAATCCGGGGCTAGCGTGGGGGAATGAATACCAGGGTCCATTGGGAAAGAAAGCGGGGAAGACTCGAGTCCGGACTGGCACGAGCTGGGACCAGCCTTTTTCAGTTCAAACCTTGCATGAAGCATGCGACTAATAATTGCTTGGTATGTACGTATGTATGTAGATAGCTATCTCCGCCGGTGAAGAATTACCGCGAGCTTCCATTCCAATACGAAGTGGCTTACTTACCCCACGGGGCTGGCTGTCTTGTCTGTCTTGGCCGGAAACCGTCCGAGTAAGTTGGCTTTGGCTCCTCGGCGATTGTCCGGGCAGTGCTGTACTTACCTAGGTAATATACGGAGTAGCTGGGGCGATATTATCAAGAGAACAGACAGAAGATCCAGAGAGTGGACTGAAAGAGATGTTTATTATTTTTTCCTTTTTGTTGACATCTATAGGAGTTGCGTTCTGTAATAGGCGAGATCCATGACGTAGAGAACATTACTAGTTTTTTCTACATTGTACTGTACAGTACATGTACGGGGATGTAGATATGCAGGTACTCTCAATTCTGAAGAACACAGACTGGACACACGTGCTGATTCCTAGAATGGAATGAATGAATAAATGAATACATACGACTCCCATGAACCGAAAACTAACACCACGCAATTAGTAAAAGACCCCAGTTGATGGCAAGTGACGTTATCGGCTACTTTCGGAGAGAAAGGTGTCAATACACAACTCCAATACTACAAGAGTGAGTCCCAGAAATAATACCCCATAGTCTTGGTCTTCGATGGAAAGAAAGAAAGCGACATCTCATCGACGGCTACGAGGATTTCTCATTCGTCCATAGGACTATTAGTTCTCTATGCCACTTAGCAGGTAATATAGATTTATGGACATATGGAACTCTCGCTGTCGAGGACGAAGATCCCCCCACATGGCGCGGAGAGAACGCCGCTCGCTCAAGAGACACAACACGTGTAGACAGACGAGTATAAATACGTCTGGGAAGCGGCATCAATGGCTAAACCTGTCATTTTCTCTCTTTTCATGACCAGTCTGACAAGCACTGCTGCTGTGATAATAGTGGCTCTGGTTCAATCTGATTGATATAACGATTTTCCTGCGTCAGATATAACAGTTTCCCGTGTCGATTTTCCCCTCTCGCTCCCGATTAAAAACAAAAGATTCAACAGATTCCGTGTTGCGCCGTTTCGGGGTATAACGGTCATCCTATCATCCTATCCCCAGCAAGAAAAAAAAAGAAGAGAAAAGAAAAACGAAAAACACAACCGCAAAACTACATCACGTCAAATGAAATTAAAACTCAAATCCGTCAGATCATACTCATTCCCATCCAACGTCTCCAGCACCGGAAGAAACGGCCCCGCACTCAAGACGGGATCATTACTCTGAGACACGAAACCCGGGTTCATCTGCAGCACTGGATCTACCGACGGGAAGGTGGGCTGCTCGGGGATATCGTTCTCGACGTTGTCAAAGATATTCGTTGTGGTGGTGCTGTCTGATGCAAGCGTGGTGTTCCACTGCGACCCCCCATGAGATGATGACGACGACTTCAGCATCTTGTCCAGCCCCTCCGCCATCCAGTGCACCAGATGGTAGCGGTTACAACTGTTGGACCGCAGCAGGTTGATGATCCGCCCGATCAGGGAGTAGATGGTGTCCGTGTCGATGGCGAGATCGTCGCGGTACCGAGATGACACTTTCAGCAGCACCACGCAGGCGAACGCGATCATCGTGTGGAAGTAGTGCGGCACGCCGAGGATGCTCCGCCGCAGATCGGGGTCGTTGAGCAGGAGTTCCAGAATCGTCGTCGCGTGGGACACGGCTGTCGTCGCTGGGTCCTTGAAGTACGACGGGATCGGCTCGACGCGCTCACCCGACTTGAGGCCTCGGAATACGTGTGAGAAAAGATGCAGTTTGCCGAAATGGTAGTGCAGCAGCACTCCTTTCGTGGGAAAGTCCCCGATATGCTCGTTTGGCTCTAAATATCTCTCCGGTCAGTGAAACGAGACGAATAACGAGGAAAGAGGTGAACAACGAGGAAAGAGATGAATAACGAGAAAAGGCCAGCTTACGGAGCTTTTGAGACCAATGGGCAAGCCACTTGTCCAGCTGCTGACTGAAGGTGTTGATATGCGCAACAAAAGCGCGGGGGACGGCCTTGCTGGCGTCCACGCCAAAGAGCTCCCGCACCTGACTCAAAAGGATCATCAGCGACACTTGGCTCGATATCCTCATGTCAGACTGCGACGCATGCGGCGACTCGAGATAGCCCCGCCACCCGCGAATCGTCTCGTCTTCCCGGATCATCGGGGCTCTCGTGTACAGAATCGACAAGTGCTGGTCGCAGATATAAAGCAGATACCACAGTCGCACCGGGTCGATGGACGCCTCGGGATCGGACGGATCCCAGCTGTTGGGAGTCGCTGCCAGCCCGTTCGCTGAGTCGATGATGCGGTAGTAGAACTTGTGCAGGTTGATGTCGCTCGCACGGCGGACAGCGAACCCGGCCAGCGTCCAGGAGACGTCGCTCAACCAGTACGTGCCAATCACCAGCGCGCGGAGGTAGTCCAGGCTGATGCGACGGTCAAACAGGGAGCTTGAAACGAGACGCCGGAATTCTTGGTTACAGATTTCATATATCTTGCCGTCGCCCGGTTGGTGACAGGCCGCCACGGCACAGATTGATGCAGTGAGGATGGGAGAACTTCTGCGGAGACTCTCCAACGACTTGTATTTACTCGCCAATCCATAAATATACGGGTCAAGCTGTGCCATGTAGAATTGGAACAGCCGCTCCGCCTCCTCCACGCGGATGGCTCCCCTGGAAATGAAATCGTCGAGGCCTCCACGGTCTTCCTCGACCGCCTCTCCTCGCAGCGATCGTAACCGGGTGATCTCGTACAGAGATTCGATGGGCACCTGGGCCAACATGTCGTCGGAGGGTGGGCCTTGTGGAGAGGTATCGAACAGCGGAGGAGGCTCGGCGTCATCCGCAACGGCGACCTCGTTCGCCTGGCCGTCGACCGTTTCCGGCAGTGGCGTATGTAGAGCCGGCAACGCGGGGAGTCCAAGAGAACGCAGCGTCTGCTGCAAGGCGGCATGGATCACCGTGAGATCGTGACTGACCGTCTTTCTCCATCTGGACAATGTTAACGCCGGAAGATTCGAACCCAGCAAAAAGGGACTGACCGTGACTCCTCGTCGATCAGGGTTTGCAGGCTCTTGTTGAGCTTGCACGAGAGATTTCTCTCCCGGCATCTTTTGCAGGGCGGGCCATCTTCGTCCATGTCGCATTTGATCTGCTGGCTCAGCATGTGTCTGCACTCTCTCCAGGACAATTATGCCTACCTTCTGCTTACGACAGGCCGCACACGCCTTCACTTTCCGCGTGATCGACGGCCAGACCACTGGCTCTGCATCAGACCGGATGGTTGCTGCACTCTGCGTCCGTTGTCGAGGTCCCTGGGACCTGGCAGACCGGGGCTCTGACGAGCCATCCGTCAGACTGGGAGTCGGGGGATGGTTTTCAGCAGGATAGCTTCCATTGACGAAGAATTTCTCGTCCCCGGGGCTGCCCGTCTCGATCTGCACTTCCGCAGGAGCTCCCCCGGAGGCCGTCTTAATGGACAGACGGCGGGACGGCTGATTGTCCGCGCCATCGACCTGACTCCAGGAACGTTTCGGCATGGCTGCAACTCGGTATGGATGTCTCGGACAGCGACGGTGTCAATTGAACATGATCGGATCGCTCTTACATGCTGACCAGAACGCCTGCGGTCCCGACAATCCGGGGAAGACCTCCACGACCGACGAGACGAGAGGGGAACCCCACGAGATTTTGTTTCTGACCGGGATGGGATGACTCGACTCGGACATGGCCTTCCGACTCGGTAAGATTCCGTCCATGTGGCCATCGTTCTCCACATGCGGGGAGGCTTTTCCACGGGCAACAATGCAGCGGCCAGCTGCGAGCGAATGGCGAATCGGTATAATAGAAGCCGGCCTGCCTGACAGGCCGTCGAGTCGAGCGACGGTTCGGAGCAGTCTGGGCCGACCGATCTGGAACTGAACTATCACTGGGAATGTCTGTAACTCTGTATGCCGTATACCGTGCGGTTGGATTCTGCAATCAATCCGCCATCAACCTTTGAATTAAATCACTCATTCTCGTCACAGAATCCTTACCTGCTGGCAGTTCCCTTCCCTTCCATTCTCTCTCTTTCTCCTCGCCAGTCCAGTTCGCAATGCAGGGAAACGTTTCCAGACCGCCGGATACATATCCGAGGTGCATCCCGTGACCTGGACGTGGGGCCAGACGCGGGAAGGAGCACGTGGGCATGCCGCACGGCCTTCCAAATTGCAGACCGGCAAAATGCTTATGCAGACAGACCCCGATAAGCGGTTTCTCGGCCGGCATCTGATGATGTACGGAGTAATTAAAAAGAAAGCAAATAAATTAATTTACGGAGCACGGAGGACCGAGCCCGTATTCTCCTCCCATGAGAGCCGCCACGGCCTCCCCCATGCGACGGGGGTCGTCGACTGCCCCCACACTAGTCCCTCTTGGGCCGCTCTCCAGGTGTGGACCTTCCCGCCTGGGCAGGTTAGGCGCGACTCCGGCTGCCCGGGTCGGCTCCAACCTTCCGTTTTGGGTTCCACCACTCTGGGAGCTGCCTCTTCGGGTTAGCCTAGTCTACCTTAATTGCTATCGTCTAGCGATGCTGTTTCCTCCATCTCAACCAAGCAGTATTCCTCAGTAGTTGAATCGAACAAACGTCGATATATGGCTAGCTGCTGGATCATGCACATTCAGTACAATCATCTAAAGCAGTCTTTGTAGAAATATATGCACATGTGGCTGATATCCTTTTGTTGGTACTTATTCCCTGCATACAGTATCTCAACTCCAGTTCCATGGTTCTCTTCTTCCATGTAGACGCTGAAAATAACACATAAGACAAGCTAATTAGATGGGAGTATAGATCGGGACTCCACTGATGCTGCATGTTGCCCAGTTAGTGGCTGCTCAAGAATACGGAGTATGGAAGGGGTAACGTGACCTGGTGCTTAGCAAAACAAAGCTCCCTTCAACATCTTACTCGGCTGCGATCAACAAAAGGAAACAGCGCAAGAGAGAAAAGCCAGAGACCTTTGTCTGGTTCCAAACAAAACAAACATATCATCCATCAGGTGCTGCCATCTCCGACTTCGAGTCCTCAGACCTTCAATTCATCAGCAGCGTGTACGCGACTTCATGGCTTCTACAGCCCATACGAGAGATGCCATCAAAGGACATGTCGTTCTTGACTGAAGCAACTTCGGGAACGCGTCCGATGCCTAGCGACATACGTCGAATCCACCAAACTCGCAAACTCGGAATTCTGAACCCCGAATTGGATGCGACCTGATACCTTTCGAGCCATGCTATTTCTCGCCTGCGTCTCCAGAGACCACACAAGGATGGGTGTTTCCCTGCGAGGCGGTTATACCTGAGTCGTCGGACAGTGGAGGTTATTTGCTGCCGGTCAGGACCTGTGTGCAGCCTTGGAGAAGAGTTATGTTCGGTACGTGAGAGTCTCGGACCTGATCTCTCAGTTCAGACAAGTCATTCGTCTGTCAGTACGTGTGTGCGTCTGTCTAGAGGAATGTCTGATGATAGCAGGTCGCGTCAGTGGTGAAGCGGTGTATAGCTACAACTGCTCGTCCTTCCCCGCATGTTTTATTTGTCATGCTATCGAAGAGTCCCTGCAGGGAGGAGCAGTTATTGTGTTTCGAGCTGTTGGCTATGTCGAATGTCATAGTTGCACGAATGACATCAAAGACCTTCTAAGAGCATATCATCTTTCCGGTCTGAGATCCAGAAACTGATAGAAGAGCCATAGATTTATCATATCCATCGCCGCCCCGGTTCAGGTCCGTGTCATTCAGGGATCCTGGCACCGCCAACTCCACGTCCGATACAGCAACTTCTATGATTTCACCACAGGAAACATTGAGAAGATGGACACGGTTTTTCGGTGGTTGATGACTCAACCGATAGGTGACACAAACGGCTTCCAAGTTGACGCATTGGAAAGTACACACAACATCCAGGTCCCGCTGTGGAAGGGGTTAAAATGACTCCACAATCAGGATGCGATGCTCATGAATTGATAAGCCCTGCGTTTTTGGTTCCAGAGTTTTTATTTCAAAAGGTGTATGTTGAAACGGGAGTGGACCTGCATCCTGCTTTGAGTGCCTCTGATGTATTCGGGCCTCTTCCCGCTTCTCGAGCAGCATATTTACTGCCCAGTCAACCTGCAACCGGTAATGGGAAACGGATCACGCGCAATAAAAAGAGACTTCACAGCAAATCGACAGGACAGCGAGAGAGAGGGAAGGAAATAAAGATGTTCTACTCCTCCCATTTTTCCATTACTACTGCTGGATGCCTTGTATTGAATCCACAGTGTGTTGCAACACGGCACAACTCCATACGCAGTGTCGTACTCCGTACCACATGAGTCATCCATCTAAACTAAGTTAAATTGGCAATCGGAAACGACGCGGAGCTTTTGATTCAGTGCGAGATCACCAATGACGCTGCAAGTTGCCCTGCTAGCTGCCAGGCGGTCGCGGAAAGGCCGCCGCTCGCCAGCCGCAAGAGCAAAGCAATTGACACAAACGAGCCATCGTCGTTCGGCTCCGCGAGAATTAACCACTCATTGTTATGTCATCTAATTTATTTAACTATTTATTCGCATGTACCGAGAAGTGATTCCTGGATGGTGGTCTATGCGGTAGCATCCGCATAGATAAACGCACGCTAATGTTTTACATTGGCACCCAAATCTTGCTGCCTGGTAAATAGGGTTACATGACAAGCTGATGCTGAGTTCGGCTCGTAAAATTCTTTACCCTATCAGCTCCCATACACTGCATTGACTGAACAGCTACAGGTCAAGGCGATATCATCGTTTTGGCACGGTGAAGTAGGGGCTTCAAACTCGAAATGGGGGAATTCCTAGCCCCTACGAGGGAACAGCCCCAGGACACACATGAAACAAAGCCTGCGAAGGAGCAGCCACCACCTGAAAAACAAGATGCACGCTCCCAGTTACCGGAATCTGCCAGGGGAGAGGGAAACACGGCTTACGTTAGGAGCTATTTGGTGCGTATCTACCGTCCATAAACACTTAGCGCCACTGACAGCTCGAATAGAGAGCCCTCGCGTATAGATCGAGATTCGATGCTGTACTTTTTGCCGCTGCTGCAATATGTGCAATTGGATCCGGCATCGTACGTTACGAAATCAGTTTTGAAACGAATAAAAACTAATCTGAGCAGGTTTTGCCGCTGATGAACATCGTCTTTGGGAACATGGTCGGCAGCTTTAACGCATATGGCTCGCCTGAAAATGAAGTCTCGGAAGCTGATTTCAGGTCGTCCATCGACAGCAATGCGTATGTATTTTGCGTTGTGTCCTTTGTGTCATGCGTTTCGGTTTATGCTGACGTTATGGAAGCCTCAAGATTGTGTACCTCTTCATCGGAAAGTTTGCACTGAGTTACGTCTCAATGGTAAATTATCACAACCAGACCAGATCGTTGAATTCCAAGATTAATGGGCGCAGTTTGGTTTTCGGATGGCGGGCCTTCGCGTCACAGCGGCCCTGCGACTGGCCTATATGCAGTCAGTCTTCGCGCAGCCCATCAGTAAGCTCGATGAAGTGTCTGCCGGCACCGTCGCGAATACGATTACTGCCTCGTCCAACACGATCCAAAGCAGCATCTCTGACCGGCTGTCCCTGTTGTTTCAATCGCTGGCTCTGCTGGTAGCGGCCTATGTGGTCGCTTTTCGATACTCATGGGCGCTCACCCTCGCAGCGAGTGCGCCCTTGCTATTTATAGTTCTCGCCTATTCCATCTTGGCACCAATCCTGCTCAAACTTCAGAAGCAGGTCGACAAGGCGGACGAACAGCATGCCTCTATCGCAGCTGGCGTTTTCGGGTCCATCCGTACTGTCCTCTCTCTCGGAGCCGAGACTCCCCTGTCGGAGAGGTATTTCCACTGGGTCGAGGTATCGCGACAGCGAGGACGGAATCTGGCTCGCTTCCTGGGCCTGCAGCTTGCTCCAGCGTTCTTCGGAATGTACGCTGGCTACGCACTGAGTTTCTGGTTCGGCTTAAGGCTCTATCAGGAAGGTCACATTGCAAACGTCAATACAGTCATTATGTAAGATTTACAACTATGCGGATTATGCTGGTAAATTATGCTGACTGTTCTTGAGTGTCTTCTTTTCCGTGCTTATCGTCAGCAGTGTCATGGGCGGTATCGTCCTTCCGGTTATGCAAATCTCCAAAGCGATCAGCGCCTCGACCGGGTTCTTTGATATCATTGATTCCGAGCGCGTGTCTGTGGATGGTCTCCGAGACCCGGATGTCTCTGCACATGCAGATATCGAGTTCCACGACGTCACCTTTGCATATCCTACGCGGCCTGGAGTTCAGGTGCTGAAGAGCTTTAGCGCTCGGTTCGAAAAGGGCAAAACGACCGCATTGGTCGGGCCCTCTGGTTCCGGAAAGAGCACAATTGTCGCGCTGTTGGAGAGATGGTACCAGCTGGAGGGCGAGACAGCTTCGAACAACCATCTATCTGCAACGACGGTTGATGTGGAGGTTCCTGGACAAAGCAGAAGTAAGCCCAATCGCGGTGCTGTGCGCGTCGACGGCCACAATCTCAATACTCTGCACCTGAAATGGTGGAGATCCCAGATTGGCCTGGTTCAGCAAGAACCATTCCTTTTCAACGACTCGATCTTCAACAACGTGGCCTTTGGGCTGATAGGATCGAGATGGGAGAACGAATCGGAGGAAGTCAAGCGGGAGCTCGTCAAAAGCGCTTGTAAGGAGGCGTTTGCGGATGAATTCATCGAGCGTCTTCCACAGGTGGGAGTCTCCGCCTTTCTGTCATGTAGGCATCTCTGACCTTTCCAGGGATACTCGACGATAGTCGGTGAAGGCGGCATCAAGCTGAGCGGCGGCCAACGCCAGCGGCTGGCAATCGCCCGCAGCATCGTCAAACGGCCTGCGATCCTGATCCTGGACGAAGCCACTAGCGCCATCGATGTGCACGGCGAGAGAATCGTGCAGAAAGCGCTTGACCGCGTGTCGCAAAGCCGCACGACCATCGTGATCGCCCACCGACTGTCGACCATCCGTAAAGCGGACCATATTATCGTCCTCCAGAACGGCACCAAGATCGAAGAGGGCTCTCATGAGCAGCTCATGTCCATCTCCGACGGGATGTATCGCAACCTGGTCAATGCACAGCACCTGGAAGCAGAGTCCTCCGTGCCAGAAGAAACTGACAAAGGAGATAAAGCCCCGGAAGAGAGACTGGATCTTATAAACAGTTCGCATGCAGATGCTGAAGTGAAGCAGGAGAATACTGGTTCTCGAAAGGCACGCACTAAATATCTAGCCCTCGGGCGCATCCTGTACGAGCGACGGGCTCATTGGCCATTTTACGCTCTGGTAGTGCTGGCAGCGATGTGCTGTGGTGGTAAGAATTGCCTACTCTTGCATCCTTCCATGAATACCACGAACTGATGAACCACAAACTGACGCGGGACAGCCGCCTACGCTTTGCAAAGCTGGTTCTTCGCACAGCTGGTCCAAGTCTTTCAATTCACGGGCCAGAAGCTCACCGAGTCCAGAAATTTCTGGGCCTTGATGTTTTTCATTTTGGCCCTGGCCATTGCGGTTTCCTACTATGTTTTAGGATATATTTCCACTTCCATGTCGGCGGTAAGCAGGGCGATTCAACCGACATGAACCAAAGCTAACTAGGGCAGTCCATCACATCCACATATCGGAAAGAGTATTACAAGAGCATCCTGCAACAGCCAATATCGTTTTATGACGCCGAAGACAACGCGTCGGGAAGCTTGATGTCGCGATTGTCCACGGATCCAAAACAGATCCAGGAGGCGGTGGGCGTCAACGGCGCCTTTCCGCTGGTTTCCATCTTCAACATGATCGGATGTATCGCGATATCGTTCTCCTTTGGCTGGAAGCTGAGCCTGGTCACCCTGTTTGCCGCCTTGCCGGTGCTGTTCCTCGCCGCGTTTCTGCGTCTCCGGCATGAGATTCACTTCGACCAGATGAATGCAGAGGTGTTTGCTCAGAGCTCCCAGTTCGCAACAGAGGCAATCGGGGCGTTTCGGACTGTGTCGGCGCTGACTATGGAGGACTATATTCTTGACAGGTATTCCAGTCTGCTTAAGCAACAGATCAGACGGGCCTTTCTGAGAGCATGGCACGCTACGCTTGTCCTCGCCCTTTCCGACAGCGTGGAGCTCTGTGCTATGGCTCTCACACTGTGGTAAGATCACGTCTCGGATTCAGTCATGATATGATAAGCTTACCATACTGTGACGCACAGGTATGGCGGACAGCTTCTAGCCAGCCGGGAATATGACCCGCTGTCCTTTTTCGTGATATACAGTGCCATTGTCCAGGGAGGGCAGGCTGCAGGACAGACCTTCAGTGTGGCATCCGTTTTCGCACAAGCCACCGGGGCCGCAAATCGCATTTTCAGCCTTCGACAGAAAGTTAGCGAGGACGGCGGTTCACCTTACAAAGAGCAGTTGCCCGTGCAGGACCCATCGTCAAAGGTCGGCGCCAAGGTGGAGCTGAGACGGGTATCGTTCAAGTATCCTACGCGCGACACGCCCATCTTTCAAGATCTCGACGTGACAATTGAAAGCGGGCAATTCGTTGCATTCGTGGGGCCCTCAGGCTGCGGGAAAACAACCGTGATTTCCCTCTTGGAAAGATTCTACGAACCCAATGCTGGCGCCATCTACTTCAACGGCCGGGACGTCCGATCCATCGAGCTGTCGTCGTACCGTCGGAACCTGTCTCTCGTCGCGCAGGAACCACGGCTGTTCGACGGCACGATCCGCGAGAACTTGCTTCTTGGGCTTAGCACTGCCGATGATGTTTCAGAGGAGCAGATAGTGCAGGCCTGCAAAGACGCCGAGATCCACGACTTTATCGTGTCCCTTCCGGAGGGGTACGGGACGGAGCTGGGCATCCAGACGCAAACCACGCTGAGCGGGGGGCAAAAGCAGCGGCTGTGCATCGCGCGGGCGCTGCTGCGCAATCCGTCCCTGCTGCTGCTGGACGAGGCGACGTCGAGTCTGGACTCGCAGTCGGAGAAGCTCGTGCAGGCGGCTCTGGAGCGGCTGGCTGGACGGCGACGAATGACCATTGTGGCCGTGGCGCATCGACTGGCGACGATCCAGAAGGCGGACACGATCTTTGTCTTTAGCGGCAGCGAAGTCGGCCGGGGATCGCGGATCGTCGAGCGGGGGAATCATCAAGAGTTGCTGCGGAGGAGGGGTGTCTATTGGCAGATGGTGAGTAGATACATACCTGATGCATGCAATCAATCTGACATTATTGCCACAGTGTCAAGCGCAGGCGCTCGACAAGTAGATGACCTCGTTTTTTGTTCTCCTGTCATTGTACTATAGAGAGAGGAGGTAAAGCACTGTACATACATGGATACATCTCTTCTCTATCGGCATTTGTCTGGAGGATGGCTGTATAGTAATGTATGATACACCCCACTCGTGTTAGTTCACCCCACTCATGTTAGATCATCGCACGTCACGAACATAACATGCTGTATATACTGTTATATTGTTGCATTCTAGTTAGCGGCGATGTATATATATAATCTTATCCGTGCTAACCCTAACCCTATTGTTATTTCTGATTGTGATTTCTTTCCGGCCAGCTGAACTCCTAAATTAAGGCTCTTTACCAGGCTGTTTAAATATGTATTATTGATTTGTGCTCGATATTTACGGTATCTATCTAGGTCCTCGTATATTCATCACTAGAAAACATCTTGTCTGGCATCGGCAGTCAGTTACGTCCCCACGGACAAATCTTTAAATACTAGTGGGATACTACGCGGAGTAGCTGGTAACTTCTTTCTTCCAGTATTGTATTGAGTCCTCTGTCAACTCCGGGTATGATTGATGGAATAACCGAATCTCCATCCATCCTGCTTGCTATTCTTACTCCGTATTGTTGTTGCTATGAGGAGGAGCTGCACAGCAATTCACTAATAATAGCGTTCGTTCTTGCCAAGGCGCAGACGATCTTACAGAAATTAAACTCAATGTAGTTAGTTAAATTTGACAACGCAGCAGCAATAACCATGATTCCTGTGTGGTTTTTTTTTTGACTTTAAGCTGTGGGGTTATGACAACACAGCCTACCCAGCACAGTCCAGCACAGCACAGCCAGCCCTAAGTAAGACAATGAGGTCATCCAGTGTCCTGCTAACAGACTATCAATAACCCACATTATTATTTATGTTATGATGCCAGCCAGCCAGCCAGCCAGAGAGCCAGCTGAGGCTGACTGAGCTGGTGAGATGTATGTACTGTGGCCCAATGTTCGAACTATTGGTCGATCCCCGGATCGACACAATTTCTCTCCTTGTATTGTCGGGTCAGGCGACGAAGTAGCGACGCTAACAGCAGGACTGTTTACACAGGGCTGGATATGACAGGTCTTCGCGAGTCAGTCGGTCCCAAGATGTTGGTTATAGTATCATCCATCCATCCATCCACTCAGTCAGTCAGTCAGGCCTCCAACTTGCGGGGCAGAGAATGTATGTATGTACATGTAGATGCATGCATGCATTTGCTGCTCTTGCTCTCGCTCTCGCGAGAAAAAAAAAAGATGTATATAGAGTCGTAACATGCCGACACATTACCTGGTGCTGTCGGTTGCGACATACCTAATCAGATTGAATATCATTCACCATGCGACCATCTTTCCTTCGATACGTCTCTCTAGCACCCCTCCTGTGGAGCGCAGCAGCATCTGCTGAGCCCGTCCGAGTGCTGGACACCGACTTCCCAGACCCCTGCCTGATCTCCACCAACGGCAAGTACTATGCCTTTGCGACGACGGGCAATGGCGTCAACGTGCAAATCGCCCAGTCGGACGACTTCGTCACCTGGGAGCGTCTGGCTGGCACTGATGCCCTGCCGGGACCGTTTCCCTCGTGGGTGGCGTCTTCGCCGACTGTATGGGCGCCGGACGTGATTCAACGGGTGCGTTTAAACTATACATAGGATTTTTCATCGTCATATCTAACGAGGTGCATCTAGCTCGATGGCACGTACGTGATGTACTACTCCGCCCTCTCGAGCACGGACCCGTCCAAGCACTGCTTTGGCGCCGCCACCTCGACCTCCATCACAGGCCCTTACAAGCCCGAAGACAACTACATCGCCTGTCCGCTGGACCAGGGCGGCGCCATCGACCCAGACGGCTTCATCGACGACGACGGCACCATGTACGTCGTCTACAAGGTCGACGGGAGCAACCTGGACGGCGACGGCACGATCCATCCGACGCCCATCATGCTGCAGGCGCTGGAGCCGGACGGCATCACTCCGACAGGGGACCCGATCAAGCTGCTAGACCGGGACGCGTCGGACGGGATCCTGATTGAGGCGCCCAGTCTGGTCAGAAGCGTCGTCAGCGGGACGTACTTCCTCTCGTACTCGTCGCACTACTACGCCAGTTTGCACTACGACGTCGGCTACGCGACAGGGCCGGCTGTGAAGGGGCCCTTCACCAAGGCGCAGGCCCCGTTGCTGGTGACGGGCGACAATACTACCAATGCTGGTCCTCTGGGTGGACCTGGAGGAGCAGACTTTTCCGTCGACGGGACGAGGATTGTCTTTCATGCGTTTGAGAATGGAAGGAATCTTACTAATGGCAGGGCGCTGTATACGTCGGGGATTGTCCTTGAGGGGGACGTCATACGGTTGGTGTAGTCTTAGCTTTACAGAAATAGCAGTATGCATGCAATTAATTGTAATTGACTTGACAGCGGTGCTATCTCTGATTGAATTCGTAAGGATTGAGAGTATGATATATAGAGTAAGTAAGTGGATTCTTTCTGTGATGAGAGAGAGAAGCTTTCATGCTTGATCGGGACAAAAACCATTTCTAGTACTGATATTAGATAGATATCTCTTTTAACTCGTAGAGATATACCATATATTCCTTCTTCGTTTTCTCTTGTATTTTACGGGAATTGCAATCCCTCTTACAGTATTGTTTACATGTGTAACGTAGAATACTGCATTGAAGAATGGATCCCTGATTCTTCGTCCCTAGATATCTATCACCACGTATTCTCTACCTCTACAGTCTGGAGACGGGTGATTGACGCCGAAAAAGAAAGAAAGAAAAGAAAGAAAGACGACATAAGGAAAAGGAAGCCTATAAATAAAAACACGACAATTTATATTATCAGTATTACTGTACGTACAGTAAACCATTAGTGTGCTAGCATTAGTACTGTACAATGAATGTCGACTGGACATTTGTGCTGTTCACGTTTATCATGTTGCTTCGTGCAGACTCGTAGCCGTATGTATGTACAGATGGCATACGTATGGTGCAAGGAATCAGAGAACTACTGTACATCATAAACTATGTAATATCATTGACTGACTGTACTGACGCAGTATTCTTAGCCCTTTCAAGTATTATTTTTTGTTATTGTAATTCTCTTCCCCTGGCATTTTTTTTAACCCCTTTTTGAACATCAGGCCAGGTCTCGACAGAGTAAGAAACGGTTGATGATTACTATTCCTACTAGTAATAATTTAGGGTTTTCATAGAAAGATATACGTGGGTCAGACTAAGAATACACAGAGAGAATGACTGACGACTTACTGACTGACTGCAAATTTCGCTTGCCCAAAATAAATCCCTTGTATATTTTAGATAGCATCGAGATATGTATGTATGTATGTACTTACTGTAGATACTACTTTCCTTACTATTTATTATTATTTCCAAGTTTGGTAACTACAAACAAAGTGGACATACTAATTTCATGAATTGAATGAATCATCACATAGCACGATATACGTACATACATCACTATATCATATTCCATACCATATACCGTATACAACCAACCGAAACACCTAATCCAGAATGGTATAACCATTTACTCTCCGTCAGCATACTCCCCACATAACCCGTCCTCGTCATTCATATCGCCGTTTTTCCGCCGGCTGGCGCACACCTGCCGGAACCAGTTTACGCGGCAGTCTTCCTTGTTCAGCCACAGCGTCAGCGGGGCCAGTTTGTTGGGCCGGCAGCCGTGGCAGTTGGGCGTGTCGGGGCAGTTGCTGAAGACGCTGTGTTGGTAGCCGATGTCTCTGAACCTGCGGGCATGTAAGTATATACACCTCGTACGAAGAAAGGGCATAGAGAGCTGAATGGTAGAGGAGAGGCTACCAATGAATGTTACGATTCTCGGCAAACAGCCCCAACGCAACACTATGAACCGGGGCATCCCCCCAGCGCTCATAGAAAAAGCCCTTTGCACGGTCCAGATGCGCAAAGTACGCCTCGTAGGCCGGACTGCGCCAAAAGTCCAGGTCGCCAATCTCAAAGTTGCTCCAGAAGTGACAGGTGCTGTAGCCGTGGGCGCGCGCGGTGACGTCGGGCCGGCCGGTGGCGTCGGTCAGCCAGTCGAGCGAGTTGTCCGGACTGAGATACTCGGGATGCTGCTCCAGGAAGGCCATGGTTTCGGGCCACAGCGAGGGCAGCGTGTTGGGGTCGTCGTAGATGTTGATGGTGAAGCCGTACGTCTTGTTGTGGTCTGCCATGAACCGGAAGACGTCGTAGTTGATGTCGCAGAAGAATCTACAGAGTCAGTATGATCCTAAAAATTCATATATGTGGCTGCTCACTTCACATTCGGCTCCACCCGCCAGTAGTACTTCATGTCCTTCAACGCCGGGTGCTTGTAGAAAAACCCCGAGTACCAGCGACACATCTGATGGTAGCTGATCTGGGAGGCATGCTTGACCCATTTGGCATTCATCTTGTCGATCGACTGCTGCAGGACGTTGGGGTCGATCCAGTCGGGGACATCCCAGTGTTCGGGGGGGACCAATTCTGCGGAGTCAGCATGAAGACATAAATACACGCATGGCATACGTACCATATCGACACTCAGCCTTGGTCTCCGCCTGCGTCCGGCGCTTGAATTCCTCCGTAAACGGCACGTCGTTGAAGAAGGTCCACGGGTAGTTGAATTTCGAGTTCCACGACCGCTCCAGCTGGCGCATCGAGTAGACCATGCCGTCCAGCTCCTCGTTGCGCACCAGCGCGATGATGGTGGCGTTGAAGGGGCGCGACTCGCCGTGGCGAGCTGCGTCTTCCGGCCGCCAGAGGTGGGTGGAGGGCTCTGCCATGGCTGTACGAAGTTATTCGCATCGTCCGATATCAGCGGTCATGTGATTGCAGCTGCAGATGGAATACATTACTTATACTTACACAGGCGCATCCGGGCTATCTCCCGGTCCCCCGACGAGAGATACCATGCATCGCGGGAGTAGACCAGCAGCACGATGGCCAAAGTCAAGACGACAGCGAGCGTGGGCTTCAGCGCTCTCCGGAAGGAGTAACAGGGATAAGGATAAGCATACAGATACATGGCGGAGCACGTGCTCCCCAGAAGCGGGGACGGTGAGCAGAGAATCAACAAAGACGACCTCTAGACCATGGTGCTTTTGCCCGAGTACAGAGATAGCGCAGCAGGCGACAAAGTCGAGGTGCAAGTCTGTCTACGAGGGGACAGTGACAGGCATATCTACGGAGTACGTCTTCGGGAAATGCGGCAACGAGACTGCAGGGAATAAGCTCAGGCGCCATGTGTAATCACGCTCGATTCGCTGGCCACGGCGTCAGGCACGCAGTCATTATTATTATTAATGAGCAGCATAAAAATAGATGCAGACCCCGCGATTAGTTCAGTAGTCTAGCCAGGCAAGAAGTAATACTCATAGTAATACTCCATACTAACTGGTCTTCGCCCTTACCAACCCAAGCTAATAGTCTCCTATCCTCTTCAGGATCATTTTCTCTCTTGACTGTATAAATAAAAGACAATAATCGCATCCTGCAGAACCATGCACAAGCAGCTTTATGCAGAATAAAAAAGCGACAAGCGTGGCTGCAGTGGATCCGCATCCGATGATTCCGTCGCCCAATCAGGTGAGAATATTCGTCTATGCAAAGGGTTTCTACCGAATAATTAAAATTAATGTTCTGATTGAATTATGCATAAAGGAGAAAAACTAGGTAGGTAAGCCACAGTCTTCTATTTATGCTTTCTTTTGTTTTTTTCGTTTTTTTTTGTAGTAAGCAAGTGTTCCTTGTCAAGTCCTTTACAGGATGACTTAAATATCAACGCTTCTGTTCAATCAGCGGAATTGGTTTGTCGACCCGTTGATTAATTCTGAAGTAATACAAGCACGGAATATCTGTGTAGAAAAATTTTCTATGACTCACTGTCATCATCTCGCAGCATCCCGGAAGCATTCAATGACCGGATCGTAGAGCGCGCCAGAGCGGATCGATTCGTAGACCGTGGAGATGAATGCTCCCACTGAGGGCGCAGTATGGCCGCTATGATCGGACAGCCCCGCTGGATCAGGCGTCTTGATCTCATCTTCGCCGAAGAACGGCACTCCGAGTCGTCCGCGCACGAAGCTGTACATCCGGCGGGCAGCAGCGCCCAGAAACGGACACGCATCGGGCTGGCTTCGATACTGCGAGCGCGTGATGCTGAACAGCTCCAGAGCGCGGTCGCTACACTGAGCCATCCATGATTTCATCGCTGAAAGAGTTTCTACCGAGGACGGCGTCGACTTCAGGATCAGCGGTTGCAGCGATTCCATGATATAGGTAAACCTCTTGCTCGAATCCATGTGCGCCGTGCGACCCAGGTGCATCTTCAGTGCTCCCCACAGTCTCGTTTGAAGGTCGTCCAACTGGGCTGCGTCCCGAAGGATGCCGCTGAAAGCATGCGTCGTGATGGCCTGGAACTCCCCGGCGAAAGCCTCGAGAAACCGGAGGTTCATGGCGCGCAGGTCAAGCGCCTGGCAGAGAGCCAGGAGATGCGCGGCCGCCAATTGCGACAGCACATCCAGCGCGTCCAGCGTGTAGCGAGCCGATATCAGCGCCAGCGAGTTCAGGGACTGGTTGCCCATCTCGGCCGTCTGGACGTGGCTGGCCACCGGGTTTGCGAGAAACCCCAGCTCCGACTGCAGTGCAGCCACTAGGATGTCCGTCCCTTTCCAGATATACGACTCGCTGGGCTCGTCGACCACCAGGTTCGGGGGCAGCCCGCGGTTTGTCGCTGGGTTGATCAGCTCCGTGCACTGCACCGACAGCATCCGCCCGATCGTCTGGCAGCCCTGCCGGATCTTTTCCACCGCTGAAGTCACCACCTTGGCCTGGAAGTTCCCTCCGTGCAAGATGCGTGCCCCTTCGGTGTCGATCAGAGGGTTGTCCGTGACGGAATTGATCTCGATGAGGATTTGCCGGTGTGCTGCCGTCAGGTCTTCCAGGACGGGGCCAATCCATTGCGAGGCCGTGCGGATCGAGTAGCGATCCTGGCGGAGGGAGGATTCTTCGGTTCCGTCGCTGCGATGGACGAGCTGGGAATCGGCCAGGAAGGCAAAGATGTTCCGTGCCGACTCGATCTGGCCGGGATGAGGGCGCACCTTGGCCAGGAACGGATCGAAGCTCTCATCAGTGCCGCACAGGGCCTCGACGGTCATGGCCGTGAGAACCTGGGAGAGTGCCGCCTGGAGATGCGCCTCGTGAAGCACCAGAGCAGCCACGCCGGCCGATACGGCTGTCCCGTTGACGATGGCGAGGCCCTCCTTGGGTCCGAGAGAAATGGGCTCGATGCCAGCCTGGGCCAGGGCGCGGTCTGCGCGTTCCACGGGGCGCGATCCATCTGGCAAACGACTGCCCACCCACGCCGTCAGGCTCGGTTTGCCCTGCATGACGCCTCCGATATACGACAACGGGCTGAGGTCGCCGGAGGCAGAGATGCTTCCTCTGATCGGAACGCGAGGGACCACGTCTTTGTTGATCAGTTGCGCGAGCGCCTGGACGGTGGCGAGTCTAGTTCCGGAGACGCCGCCGGCCAGAGAATTGAGGCGGACCAGCATCGAGGCTCGAACCCAGGCTTCTGGCATACAGGTCGCCGCCGTGGGGTGGTCGATGGGCAAGGCGGTGTTGTCGAGCAAAGCTGCCATGTTGGACAGTGACAACGCGCCCTGCAGAGGGCTTCGTCGCGTCGGGTCTGCCAGAACGCCGTAGTGGAGGCCGCGTATGAGCGCGTGCTGGAGCTCTTCGATGGCGTCTGGACGAGTGTCAGCGCTGCCCCCGAAGCCTGTGTTCACCCCGTAGACGATGAGCCCTTTCGACAGGCTGGCTTGGAAGGCTTCTGCGCTGGCGGTGATGGCACGCATAGCAGCTGGGTCGAGATCAACCGATCCTCCATATCTGAGAAGTCAGCTGGTGGGTAACAGAGTGTGAGAGTAAGAGGAGAGCAGTGAACAAAAGAAAATGACCTGACTGTCTACCTTGCGATGACAACAACTGAAGCGAGGTCCAAGTTGCGTCCATCCACGACGCAAGTCCAGGATCCAGCGTTGACAGCCCTGACATTGGCCGTAAATTTCGCCCAATGTGACAGCAGCAGCGAGGAGAAAGAGTCTCGAGGACGATCCATGGCGGAGTGTCGAGAGGATGGCTGAGGTGGCAGCACGGGTAGAAAGTGGGAGGTGCCTTTAAGCAAGAAAGATGCCGGCCTGTCGTCAGCTCGCACAGGTGGCCTGACCCAGATGGGCTGGCACGAAGATTGCAGGCAGCAATTCATTATCACCTCCTGCTTCATCCTCGAGTGTGGATTTGTGTGTGCCTTCACAGTTCCTTATCAACAAGCGGGATTGCAAGAGTGAATTTTGTCAAGCTAGATGACAAGAGTGAATTCAATGAATGCTGTCAGATCCAGGATATTTTCAATCTGAATCAAAACAAAGAAATTATTTTTAAAATAAAGTGTTCCTTATGGAAGGAATGTCATTAGTTTTGTTGCCCCTTGATGTCCTATCCGTTTTTGTAACAGACAAAGCCAGGCAGATTCCTTCTGAATGCCAGAAATAGCATCTTCAGCACTGCTTTGCATATCAGACCAGCAATGGCATTATCCGCAGCTAGATAAATATTAAGATTAGTCAATTGATTCGATAGGAAGGAGCGCAGCTTCGATTATGGAGAGTTGAGCAGGCCAGCAGTGAGGATAACCAAGAACACATATTGACGGATAAGAAAACTAAATCTGCTGTCGCGAGCTGAAAAGAAATACTTTTTCTTGCGATCAGTATTGCCTTTGAAATGGGATTCACGCAGACAATCTACTTTATTGTTAGTTATATACTCTTATTGCCAGCTCTGTTGTTCCCAAGCTCCTCCATTCCAACTGTTCCACAGTGCTTATAAAAAAAAAACTGCAGATTAGTATATACCGAGAGTTTGTCAAATCGACAGTCCACACACCAGCAGGCCAAGCTAGGGACCCATAATTTCTGAGAGTTCTTCTCGTAAGACACTTTGAATACTGATTCCATTGGATCTTTCTTTAACTACCTAAATCGAGAATTACTCAGGAAGTCTGCCCATCATTCACTCTTCATGTGCATCTGAATAGGGTTGTTACGAAGTATGGCAAGAGAGGATGGACTAGAGAGTTAATTGCATTAATTGTTTTGTCGTTCAAATCAAATCAGGGATATGTAAGGACTGTTCCTATGTTTGATTTACGCATGTATATGCCATAAAGTCATTGAGAGAGTTCCATATTTCTAACTACGTTTGCTAATAGAAATAATTAACAGGAATGTCACCAAAAAAACAAAAGAGGGTCACGGATATTTTCTTGTTAGGAATATCTGCTTGTATTTCGTCCTTATCCGTCCTCATTTTTCCAGATTATTTTTTTTGCCAGTTTTAAATGCAGGAACTAGCATCTCTGCAGGATTAGGTAGTAAAATCATCTCTTCTTTATGTGTTCCGAGTCGATGACCGGATTAAGTGCTATATGCACATGTACTGTACTCTCTCGTATGCAGTTTGACCTGCACTATGCAGGAAATGGTATATCACACGTAAACAGATTATAAACAGATTATAAATAATACATTATTAATATTCGACTACCAACTCATTATTCAATTTCAATGCAGTTGCCTTACGGAACTCCGGTTTTGCTCGGAACTCCGGCGTCACTGCTCGGGCTTGCCCATTGCAGCAATTACGCCCGTCCGTCTCGGACGAGTCCCGAACGACCGTGCGCGTCGGAGTTAATAATATTATTCTCCAACACGCACGGACGTCTGCGCACGTTCGAGATCCAGCTTGCCTCGAGTCATTATTCTTCCTTCTGCGCTTCTATCCAGTCCATTGATCCACGTGGCTGGGCTGTCCCCGCCAGCGGAAGCGCCGAAGAAGCGTTGACGTCGGATCGCGATCAGATCCCGTCAGACGCATCGACCTGTGCTAGGGCCTGTCCACTCTTACTCCATGGGCATGGCATACTATGCAGGCACATCAGGTCTCTTCTACTGCTAGAACACTGCCTGTCTGTTGATGTTCTATCTTGTCTTTCCCTCTTCTTCCTTCCTGTCTTTGATATGATCCTTCTGCTCGTGCCAGTGTGAATTACTCCGATAAAAGATCGACCAGAGGGATGTCCTGAAAGCAACAAGAACAAAAAATACACGCGGGAATAACTGCATCGTGTGTCGATCATCCCGCGCCACGCGAGGACCTGGAGAGCGATGACATTTACGTCCTCGTCGATTGGCCGGATGAGCCTCGGCTTGATTAGGGTTGAGATGGCGTCGTTCGTGAGCAGGAATAATCCTTTTCTGTTATGCTGCGATGGTCTAGAATGTATGACACTTCTTTCTCTTCCATGCCTTTGTTCTTTCCAGCAGATGAATCAATCTATCCTGGTAATAGGTCTTTTACTGACATGTCAGCTTGCAGAGAAAGACTGGTTCAGACGTCCAGAAGTCTCCAGGGCTGTTCCTGAATATAACATGAATTTAATATTCTTGGCTCACGCTCTGACCTCCAGACAAGCTTCCCAAGCTTTTCCCCTCGTTCTCGGCATTGCTAAGCTCAAGATGGCGCCTTGGCCGAACCCTCATTCCGCCGTATCCAGGTGGATATGCATCGCCGTCTGCAATGCCTCCTGCTCGACGTGCTGCTTCATTCAGATGTCCAATTGCCGCCGAGATCAGTCCACGTGCTGAGGATCCTCTTGCGATGCAGACGATTCAGCGTGTCAAGATGGAGTATATAAACAGGCTGCCGACACGATCTCCTCCGGACATTGTCTCTCTCTGTATAGCAGATCCAGTCGCTCGTTGATTACTTTCTCTGCCACCGACAAAATGCACGCCACTGCTCTCGCCCTCCTGGCTTTGTCCGCCTGCGCGGCTGGACAGAGCCTGCCCGACAGCAAGGTGCCGTTCATCGGCGGCGGCGTCTACAAGGCTGACGACCCCAAGCTGGCCAACTACACCTTCCAGTTCAAACCGCCGTTTGCCAACGCCAACTACGGCGGATACTACTCGTGGCAGGTCAACAACAACACCGTCGCCATCACCAACTTCACCGGCTACACTGCTCCGCCCGACTCGCTGACCAAGTACCCCTTCTTCCTCATCAGCGAGGGCAAGCCCAAGGCCATCAACCCGAACCCGTCTGACAAGGCCCGTCGGGACGACGAGCATGGCCAAAAGTTCCAGAAGATCCTTCACATCATCTTCGAGAACGAGTACTACGGCTGGACCATGAGCGACCCGTGGTGGCAGCTGCTGGCGCGCCGGGGCAAGCTGCTCACCAACAGCCACGGCATCACGCACCCGTCGCTGCCCAACTACGCGGCCATGGTGGCGGGCGACTTCTTCGGCATCGCCAACGAAGACTTCTACCACATCAACGCGACGACCGTCTACGACCTGCTGGACGCCAAGGGCCTGGACTACGCGACGTACGTCGAATGGTACAACCCGGCGGAGACGCAGCGCGGGCCCAACGACTGCAACAACTACGTGACGTACGGCCCCATGGACAACACCAACCCCGAGTGGGTGAGCCAGATCTACCGGCGGCTGGACACGCCGGCGATGCTGTTCACCACGTACACCACCGACTACCGGCGGTGCAGCAAGATCTACAACGCGACGGACAAGTTCGATGCCGACGTGCGCTCGCACAGCCTGCCGGCCTATTCGTTCTACGTGCCGGACATGCTGCACAACGGGCACGACCCGGAGTCGGACAGCGACTACGTGCACCAGTCGACCACGTCGGGCATGTGGCTGAACGCCTTCCTGGACATGTACCTGCCGGCGCTGCAGGAGCAGGGCACGCTGGTCGTGGCGACCTGGGACGAGGCGACCTGGACCAACGACAGCGACAGCATCCCCAACAACAACAACAGCATCGCCACGGTGCTGTTTGGCCACGGCATCACCCCGAACACCAAGGACGACACCTACATCACCCACTACGGCCTGCTGCGGGGTGTCATCCACAACTTTGGCCTGGGCTCGCTGGGTCGGAACGACACCAACGCGACCAACGGGGATCTGTACGCGCTTGTCAACTAAGCGTCAGCTTGACCTTCATACAATTCAGTCAGGATACACTCCTGTTATCGACATCAAGAACTGTACTTTTGTCCATGACTGTAGATAGAAGCTAAAGCCTAGATATTGCAATCTCATCTCCTCATCTCATCTCATCAATACTGTAATGCACACAGCAAAACTAACTGCCTGTCCAGATAATTAAGTAATTACAATCCAGCCTTAATAGTTGAGATATTCAACGTCATTCCCATTCCCATTCCCATTCTCACTCTAATATGCTGATTGAGCTATTTATTGCTCTGCAATAAATTAAATTGTATTTGGTAGGTGGTATCGTATCGTATGTTCTATTGCATTTCCTTGAATGTATAAGACTGCTGTAGCAGAGATTCTCTCTCTATTCAAATTCAATCGTGTCTTCGTCATTCGATCATTCTGTTCAATTTTATCCATTTTTTTTTCTGTTGACGGGTTGTCAAATAAAGTCAAGTCAGGTTATTGATTTATGAATTCTTTTCTTTCCTTCTCCCTTTCTCTCTCTATGTATATCTGCTACCTAAACTCATCGCTCACCTTCTTACACCACTCCTCAAACCCCCTGGCATAGCCCTTCCCCCCCTCGTCCTCATCCTTGATCGCCTCAAGCAACTCCTTCCGCGGATTCGGATGCCATCGCCCCCAGGGAATCACATAGCGTCCGCCATCCGCCACCGTAATGTCCTGGGACAGCCCTGCCCACAGCAGCGTCTGCGTGCCGCGCACCGTCTTGTACAGCACCGGCCGCACCGCGTAGTAGACGAGCCGGTTGGTTTCCTTCCAGATGGGCGTGACCAGATTGCCCGGGTTCTGCGTGATGCTGACCACGCCCTCGGGCCCGAGCTGCTTGGCCAGCCGCGCCGCCAGGAACCAATTCCCGGCCTTGCTGATGGCGTAGTTGCGGTCTTGGTCGCGGTGCGGTTTGTCCAGCTCCCCCGGCGGCACGCCCTCGGGGGGCGCCAGCGCGTCGACGAGCATGCTGCTGGACCAGATGACGCGCACGCTGTTTGGGGGCGTATTAGGGTCTTTAGCCGTCGCCACCAGTATCGGAGCCAGCAGCTGCGTCAGCAGATAGTGTCCCACGCAGTTGACGCCGAGATGCGTCTCGAGGCCCTGGGCGGTGCGGCGCGAGGGCGGCACATTGGCGACGCCGGCGTTGTTGTACAGCAGATCCAGCCTCGTCTCCGCTGCGAGGAAGGCCTCGACGAACGGTTTGACTGTGCGCAGGTCGTTGAGATCAATCGGAAGGTATTTCAGACTCCCGGTCCTAGCCTGCTGCTGTCCTCCCTTGTCCTTCTTGGCCGCTGCAGACTCGATCTGCCGAATCGCCCCCTCGGCTTTGTCCTTGTTGCGCGCCGCCATGTATACCGTCGCCCCGCTTCCAGCAGCTCCATTCCCTCCCAACTCCCAGCAGGCTCCAGCACCGTCCGGCGGAATCGCATCGCTACATCGCGATCCATGGGATTACTCCCAAACTTTGTCGTGAAGAGGTCCTGCGCGTTGGCCTTGCCTCTGTCGAGCTCTCGATGAGTGTATATACATATAGGCAGGTAGGTAGGTCTGTAGACAGGAGTTGTACTCACAGCGGATAAGCGTAATATCCAGCCTCGTACCCCCGGACAATAAACCCAAAGCGCGTGCAGCCATGTCCCCATTCCCATCCGTCTTCTTCCTCCAACCCGCTTAGCATCGTCACTTCGCTCAGCATCCGATTCCACATCGCGGACAGGTTCATGGCTTCAGCCTCGGCGCGCGTCGAGGGCGAATGTACCGCCATGTCGAACATGGTGAGGTGGAATGTATCAGGACGCCCAGCGCGCTGTCCAGATGACGGGTCTGGAGAGGATTGCGGATCGTCTCGTCGTCCAGACGTTCCGGGGGTCGTTCCTGTGGAGATGTAGCGAAATTGCCATCGCTGACATACGAATAGTGATACCCCAGCTCCTGTACCACGGCTGGCGTCCACCACCAGTTCTCCAGCATGATACTGGGAATCTCGACAAAGTCGCGCGCCACAAACGTCCCGTGGAAGACGGCATAGCGCACCCGCGACACGAGATTGTGCACTGCGTGCCCCAGCTCGTGGAACAGCGAGCGGATCTCGTCGTGTCGCAGCAGGCTGGGTTTGTGTGGCAGGGGCTTGGGGAGGTTCATCACCAAGGCGGAGGCGGGATGTCGGCGCTGTCCAGACGATGTTGTATATCCCTGTATAGATGTTAGAGGATAGCAGTTTCAGATTTGGGTAATGGATTCCTACCGGCTGGAGGAGATAGTGTCCCGCGTGATTATACTTGTCGTCTCGAGGGAAGAGGTCCAGATAGAGGTAGCCTAGGAAATCTCCTTCACTACTGCTGCTGCTGTCGTCCCACACACTGTAAACTGATACCTCCTCATGCCAGGTCATGACATGCCCCTCGCCAAACAGCGCGTACTGATCCGGAGGAATTTCCCGAAACCGAATGCCAAACAGTCGCGAGAAAATGGCCATCATACCATGCAGCGTCCGGTACAGGGAGAAATTCCGAGAACTTTCTCTCGTCAAACGAGCACTTTTCAGCCTTGGTCCGCGTTCTGTAATAGTCGTAGTCCCAGATGTAGAACCTTTCCACTTTCGCATCAGGAAACTCGTCCTGTTTGTTCGCTTTCTTCAGCTGCCGCAGCTCCTCCAGCTCTATCCGAGCAGCAGGTGTCAGCTTCTCGCGAAGACTGGTGACGAAATTACGGACCAATTCCACCGAATCGGCCATCTTGTCCTCCAGACTCAGCTGCATATAGTTTCGGTACCCTAGCAGTCTGGCCGCCTCGTCCCGCAGCAGGACGATCTGCCTCAGCCGCGGCACATTGTCCACGCACCGGTTGTCGTTGCTGACATACAGTCTGCGTCTGGTCGACTCGTTCTCGACGAACTGCATCGCGGCCGCTTGAATGGGAACCACACCTTGCCGTCTTCGCCTCTTTTCAGCCCCGCGAGGGCGGGTTCAGGAAATCCCTTCAGTTCATCTTCTGTCAGCCAGATCCCCGAAGTGGCATTGATGCTCTTCAGCGAGGCCAGAATCTGTTGGCGGAGCTCACGCTGGACCTCCGCAGAGCGAGCCCGTTTTACCGGGTCATCGATCCGGATACCATTCAGCACGAAATCGCGGTGCTTGCGCTGCAGATAGGACTGCGATTCCGGGTCTAGAGGCTCGCCGCGCTGCACGACGGCGTCGATCAGCCGGAACAGGTCCTCGCGCAGCAGTGTCTGGGCATCGAAGTCGCCGACCAGGATGTCTGCTCTGTGGCTGGCGTCGCGCAGGGTGGCGGAGGGGGCGATAGACCCGTAGAAACGGTGCAGCCGGCGGAGGGCCAACGTTTTGTTCTCATCTTCGGCGAGAGGCATCAGGACGGTGGCAAAGGTGGCATCTTCCGGGAGGATGGATGCGACGAGATGGTCCTGTAGCTGGCGGGTGTTGTCGAGAGCGGTTTGGATGTCGGTGACGATGCTGCCGGGAGTGGCATTAAAATTGGGCGGAGGCGCTCGCAGTATGAAATCGGATTCCACTGGATTTTGGTCCATATTTTCGTTCATATTATCGATGCTATTCAAAACAAAAGAGGGGTTTGGATTACCAGCTGACGTGCTCAGCAGCTGATGGCGACGCGATCGTCAGGACCAATGACGGGCAAGTGAGATGTTGGATCTGACGTACAACACGACAGAAGAATTTATCGAGAATATGCAAGTGCACATGCTCAGGGAGTCGGCCTTATAAATAATAATACGGAGCATCTTTCGGATCCAAGGACCTTTCTTTTGTTTTACGATGAAGGCGTTATTTCCGCCATGACTACTTCATCCAGTCTAGTCACTTAAATTACAGAGTCCGAAAAATTGGGGAAAAAAAAAGAAAAAAGAAAAAGAAAAGAAAAGAAAAGAAAGACAGAAAGAAAGAATGAATGAATGAAGAGCAATATAGAATGGAAATGGTAGCAAACTGTTATTGATGCATATATGTGGTATCAACAGTATGCCTAGTTGACAAGATACTGTAGAATATGCCCTATTCTCCTTCATACATAGCGCTAACCTACCCTATCTTATACCATCATCCTATGTCCCATCATCTATTCAGCAGACTCGACATGCCACGTATTCGTAACCCGGCTCTTATCCATAGGCTATCCTTCCTAGCATCTACTGATGGCGCCTTACAGGGCAGATCGTCAAAGCCATAAGTCTGACTTAGAATAGTAATATGAATCTGCGTCACCAAGTCCAGACTACCACGTATATGCACATGTAACCGGGTAAACAACCAGGTATCAATCAAACTGGTTGGAGGAAATGATTGGCTCAGCCCTAAGCCCCAAACCCCAAGCCCTAAGCCCTGGCCTTGGCCCCAATCGGGGCCCCGCCTCAGAGGGGAAGATGGGGATGACATCATGGTCAGGTCAGCGTCAACCGCCTATCAACCTCCCTCCATCAACGACATAAAAATTTTGTATTCACGACTTAACCCTGCGCAGAGATGGTCGCGCTGCTTGCTTCTTTGGGACCCTGGCGCCGGGCTGACCTAACCAACCTCGTGGATGGATGGCTTAATACAGAAAATAATTATTGTTGTTGAATGGGAAGATCGGCACTTTATTGTCTGAGCAGTGAGAAACTTGCTTTTGTTTGCGATTCACCCATTCTTTCTGAGACGGGATTTTTGTTTGGCTGGATTTCCTTCTTGCTGGATTGACACGCTGAGGTAGGTATATGTACCCGATGGTGGAAACTTGTACATACATACCCATGCTGATTGATGCTCGACCATCTCCACTCCTTCCTACTAAGATAACGATAATACTATCAGCTTAACCAAATGATCCCCCGAGAAACCATCATCTACCCCGTCCGCGCCCTCTGCGCCGCCTTCGCCCGGGGCGCCCCGACCCCCGAGCTCCTCACCCACTTCACCGAGGAGCCGATGCCCGTCGCCCACGAGCACG